TTTACTTTCAAGTATGATTATAACATTTATCTTTATTTCTAATTTGAATTTATTAATATTCTTTTTCATTATTTGTTTTGTAATTGCAAATTATTAATTAATATATTGAATTATTATTAATATATATTCTTAAGTTGAATTGAGACAAGTATTTGCACGAGAAACTTTTCCTCAAGATAAAATATGAACCTGAATAATTAATAATACCTGAGGAGAAAAATGTTTCACACTCATAGGTATTGTGCACAATAGTTATAAATTAATTACAATTACAAAGCAAGAAGACAATAGCGAACTAGAAGTCCACCTTGATTAATGAATGATAGGCTGAGGAGGGGGAGGGGCGACCTTCCTCTCTTCCTACCTGCCTTCACCTTTCATACTATCAGGAAGTAATTTTTACAGCAATGTATTATAGTTACTTTCAAGCTCAGCATTATTTTATGTTAAGAAATGTTACAAATTGTAAAGGAATATACCAGAAAAACTAAATGTGCTTTAAATTAAAAAAATAATAATAATAATTAAGAAAAATAATAAAAAATAGGTCTACCTAGATAGAAGAAATTGCAATAGAAAACTTGGAATACTATTGCGGATAAGGGAAAAAAAGAAAGAGAATAAAATATTTCTATTTAAGCCTAGAGAGAGAATAAAAAAATATATAGAAAACATATATTTATTCGCAAAAAACATTCTGAAAACAAATTAAATAAACACCGCTACTTGCATAACCTGCATTATAGAATGAATAAAAAGTTTTTAAAAAAATATTTTTTTTTTTGTAATATGATATTTAATTTATATAATATGAGACAACTTTTTGACACACTACACAAATTTGGAAAGCATAAAATATATTTTTGACTTACTGACTGGAAGTAGATTTTGTAAGCTATATTTTTTATTTTATTAATAATACATTTATTGTTATTGAAGATGGCAAAGGCTATTTCAAATTGCAGCTGTTCATGGCAAAGTGTAAAAAAAATAAATTAACCAAAGAATAGAAAGAAAATTGTTCAATAACATGTGCATATGAAGGGGAATGGCAAGGAGAGGACCGTTGCCCTCCCCCCTCTAAATTATTTTAAAGAAGTTGTAAAAAGGTTTGCCAAAAATCCAAGAAAAATAATTTTTTTAAATTGTTGTTATTTGGGAGCAGGGTAACAACACATAAATTGTTGTTATGTGTGCACCGCGAGTTGACCAGCAACCAGATAACCAGAGTTATGAGACATTAAAATAAGTATGAGTTCGCGTCCCGGTGCCAGAAGGGATTTTAAATTCCCCGCCCTCATCCCCCAACCCAGGAAAACAAAATATAGCCTAAAAGGCGAGGAAGGGGAAGTAAAAAAAAAAAATTGTTGTTCCATGAATATGTTGTGTTTGTGGTCCAGAAGTGTGGAGGAGCTGAGCGCAGTTGAGTGGCGTGGCAAGAATCAGCTCTGCTCAGCTTTGACTCAATCGAGGTTCAGTTATGGAGCTACGCTCAGCTTCCCCCACGACACTTACTCACCACTGCCTCAAAATCATCTGGCTTTGTTCCTCAGGGCCATACTTTCTTTCCATTTGTTCTCTCTCCACAATCTATTAAATTATTTTATTTTGGTTCAGTGTAAAATATGCAATGGATGTGGAAGGATTCTTAATTGACTATGTAAGGGAAAATATTCCATTTTATACACAAATATTCCACTTTTTTTTTACTCCGACATCACCAACTTTGCTATTTTATAAAATAGCTATGTTTTATATATATATATATATATATATATATATATATATATATATATATATATATATATATATATATATATATATATATATATATATATGTACTTATCCAGTAGAGGGTAGCGTCAAAACCTTCCTTCTTATCTAATCTCATTTCAAATAACCTTCCTTATCTCATCTAACCTAAGTTATCCTGTTGTTTAGTTTTAGTTTCTTGTGCCAGGTGTGAGTTTATTTAATTATGGATCTTGTCACATTGTGGGAATTGCCGTCTTCAGAAGAAGAGGCTATCAAATATTTTCAAGACGCCGGTATATTTGATAAGGTAATGAAGTTCGACGGGAAGATTAAATGGAGATGCTTTCGTAGGTGTAACAAAACCGTTTCTATAAGGAAAGGAACGTGGTTAGAGGGGTCGAGGATTTCTTTTTTAACGGCTTTAAAATTCATTTATGGGTGGTTCCATAATTGAACTACAATACAGTGGGGGAAAGATCAGCTCAAACTATCCATTGGAACTGTCGTAGCATGGAACAAATTTTAAAGAGAAGTTTGTGCCCATGACATGTTATACAGGTCAAATAAAAAAATTGGAGGGCCTGGCAAAGTCGTCGAAGTAGACGAGAGTCTTTTTTTGAAAAGAAAAAATAATGTGGGGAGAGTCCTACCTAAGCACTGGATGTTTGGCAGAGTTTGCCGAGAAACAGACAAGTGTTTTATCATTAAAATAAGCGATAGAAAAGCAACAACTTTATTAGAAGCCATTAAAAACAAACAATGTAGAAGAGAGAAGCGCCATTTATTCCAACTGTTGGAAAGGATACAACACCAAACAACTCAATGAAGCAAACTACAACTTTTTTTGTCTAATTTTTGCCTATTTTTATTATTTCATTTATTTTTATATATATGTTGCAATGTTTTTTAATTATATATTTATAATGTTTTGGTCTATTTTAATATATACGTTGTAAAATAAAAGCATTTTGTTATTATTATATTTGTTTCTGTTTTTGTTCACAATTTCAATAATATCAATACAATACAATAAATATGAACACGAACATATAATAATATGAATATAATACAATAAATATGAATACGAGCAGCTTATTAGTGTTAAGGTTATAAACATTGGCAGATAGCAGTCGGATGCTACACGCTATTAGATAAGTACCTTCCCTGCCTGTAGCCATCCTGCATATAAGAGAAATAAGATGAACAGAGACTTACGTTATTCAACTCGAATTAATAGTAAATTTATGGAATTTACCAACAGCTTAATGTTTTTTCTAGTTTAATTTTATAAAACTAGATACTAAATTCAAATAAATTGATTGTTAACTTTATAATTTCATACTCTAAAAGTACACTAACTATTGTGGGTTAACCTTAATGTGACCAGATATTTTCTTCCCCAAAGCAGGATACCTATACAGAATACTGGACTTTCTACAATTTTTTTTAAATATTTTGGACATATTCTTTTCTAACCAGAGCTGCACTTTTCTGGAATTCATCCACCATACTTCAACAGTTTCCTCATTCAAAGCTAGCCTCTTCAACCATATTCTCGCCTAGTCTAATTAATTTTATTTTATACTAAATCATCTTTTAATATATTTAAAATGTTTCCCAGAGTTCACTATAGTGCTATTTTTCACATTCTTATTATTATTATCTTTTTCACTTGTTTATTTTTTTTAATATAATTTTGTTGTTTTAATCACTACAGAAAATAAAATTTCTAAATGCAAACTCACCTAACCTTTGCTTAGTTTTTGATAACCTAAACCATACAACTTTCAAGACAGATACACTTTTAAAAGGTAATTAAATTGGCTTCAATTCAAAATATTAGAAAAAAAGAAGGAAATTTAAAGAATTAGCGATTGGACAGATTAGCGATTGTCAGAAACAAATTTTGTATTGGAAATTTATCTAAAGCAGTTACGTGAGTCCTGTGAATGGATACACCAGATAATTTTGATATATAACATTTTGAAAACAACAAACTATTGTATAATAATGTTCAATATTTTTTTAAGGTTGATGGTTGAAGAAAGAAGATAAATTATAAGATGGATAATTGTGTTTTATCTGCACCACTCAAAGAACATTTACACGTCCTACAGCAAATCCTGGAGACGTTGTCTTAAAAAGTGGGACTGCCCCACCGAAAATGGCATCTCTGGTCATGTTAGTTATCCTACAGATCAATAATATATTCTAACCAAATTGAGGTTGATTACTTGTAATAGGTCGACCTCAAAATAAAAGTCAACCATCAGAAGTCAACATCAAACCACTATTCGTCACTTGAGTGTTCTTTTATCGAGCTTGAAGAACAAAGCCACATATATAAATGATTAAGAACAGGCATAACAATGTCTCAGGATGCTTAATTGAAAGCACAATGAAATAAAAATAAAAATCCTTTAATTTACAGTGAATGGGATAAATAACAATTCACCACTTCGCTGGTATAAAATAAAACAATAAAATGATATCAAACGATTTAATAAAAACATATGACTGGCAAAATAAGTAAGAACCTAAGAAAATAAGAAAGTAAGTAGAAAACATTTCAAAGGTGAACCAGAATGCTTGGGATACACGGTCTGTTCCGAAAATAACATAATGGTTAGAATGAAGATTATTATGGCTTCCGAATTAAGATGTCGTAGAATATCTAATTTAAGAACACCATTATTCTTTACTCTGCTCTAGTATAGTGAATTAAATACTCTTTGAAAACAAACGGAATGAATAGTTTAAATAATCCTTGAATAAAAATACTTTCTATGAACAGAGGAGGCATAACTCGAGAAAAACAACTACCCAGTAAGTACATATTGTGCACAATCAATCAGACAATGGTTATAGAATCCACTAATAATTGGAGAGAGAATTCAACTTTAAAATTATCTTTATTGCTGGGTACAACTCCTAAATATAAAAAAAGACTTGGACTTATTAGAGCGGAAAAAAAAAGACAAAATTACAAGCAGATTGTCAATATACATTCCTTAACATTCAATACACATAATTCTTTCAATTATTTTTTATTCTACATTCTGGGTAAATAAAAAATTACATCATCTTATTTTAAGATTAATCAGAGATTGGGAAAAGTGCTGAATCCATGTTAAATCCATATCAATTGTATAATGAGTTAGATACACCACAAAAAAAGTTTGAATATTTAGAATTTATAAATGAATTTTATTAAATATTAACTGTGGGTAAATGGAATTACTTACGAACGTCCGGTTTTGAAAGGTCCCATATCCTGAGTAGTTTTTCATTACTACCTGTTGCAAGGCGGGTACTATCCGAAGAAAAATGAACACTTTTTACAATGTGTTTGTGAGGAATGGAAAGGAGTTCTCCTCCAGAGACTGAATCCCAAATCTATAAAAAATTAATAAAATACAATTTTAGATTATATCCTATTTCTTCTTAATACCAGCCATAAATGATATTCTTGCATTGTATGATTCATAGATTAATGTTTACTATTAACTAAACTAAACTAATTAAATTCTACTGTAAAAATATATAATGAATTGAAAAAAGTAAAAAAAGGGAAAAATGACAAATAGCTATGGATATTTCAAAATAGTTTAATCTATTTGTTAACATTCAAAGTTAATAAATGTAAGCATATTTTTATAAATGTGAAACTATTTTTTTCAATTTATACTCAGATAACTTTCTAATATAAATTTTAAATAAAATAATGGTAACTTGATAAATGGTTTTGTCACCGATGTAAACAAGATCAAGGAAGTAAAGGTGAAGGGGGAAATGCCCTTGTTTCTATTGGACATTAAGATGACCCCCTGAAGGACAGGAAGTGGAGCGAAGGACAACCAGTCATCAGCTTATATGGAAACCTACCTACTCCTTTTTCCTAGTCAAATTAATTAATCATGCAAAATCTCAAAACAATCTTAAAATGTTAAGAATTGGCAAATTCTGGCCATTTCATTGTTTGATTCACAGATACCTATCTTAATACTTTTCAGAGTTTAATCTTTATACAAAAAATAGTAAACATCAAGATAACAAAAAGAAACTTAAGGAAAGTCTTATTTATTCAAAAAACTAGAACATACCACCACATCTGCAAAAATAAAGAGTTGAATAATTATTTTAAATTCTGTTAGAAAATAACGGTGATTTCAGACAGAAAGTTTGTGCAATACCAATAACAATTATACCTAATTACATAATCCATGTAATTAGGTATAACTGTTAACATTAAACCAAAGATAAAATTTAAGCAAATTAAATTAAATTTTAAAAAAAAGAAAAGAAAAATAAGATCCTTCCAATTTTCAATATTAATCCAGATCAAAAATAAAAAGTATTAATTTTGTTTCTTATATGATATTAATTAAGTATAACAAAAAAATCAATTAAAATTTTAGAAACCACAAGAATTATATAAAATATATTTAAAATGCATTCTTATAAGAAGTTAATTTTTTTCAATTAAAATCAAAATGAATTTTCAGACAAGAAACCACTCAGCTGATACTAGTTATTAATCAGCATTTTATTTTTTTCAATGACCATAATTTAAATTTTAAGCAACATATCAATAGGTAGGATTCTTTTTTTCCAATATTTAAAATTAAACTTGGGCTAAAATACTTCCAAATTCAATTTTTTTTTTCATAGAAAAAAAATAATAAAACAGAAATTAGAATGTTATTGGAACAGTGAGATGATTGCTTAATAAATATCATACTAATAACTACCAATTGTACATATGAACCACAAACCAAAGATCGATGATATTGTCAGTTTATAACAAAGTTCATTAAATACATTTTTAATTGGAGCTCAATTTTAAGTACATTTTAGTGAATTTCTTTGACCTTATGTAGGAATCCAAAAACAAATTAAGTGCATAAAAATGGTACAAATAAAAAAATAGGTATAGTAAGTGCACTGTACTGATTTCATTCTAAAGTTATGACCACACGGGAAAAATTCATCGAAATACTTGATGATTTAATTTTATAAAATGTTACTTAATGACTTTTTGGATTAAAACAACTATATAATAGTTAATCAGCAAGAAACAATCATGTGTAATGAGACAAAGGCTAATCAAATATTTCAACCAGGAAGTAAAAGAAAATACTACAAACATAAAGAAAATACAATGGATAAAATTCAATTCATTTATTCATTAAATTAAACAATCAATTCTATAGTTAGCAATTCTAATTTTTAAAACGATATACAAATTTGTTTTATTTGAAATTCTAATGTTTAAAAAGACACACAAATTTGTTTTTATTGGTGTTTTATCAATGAGTCTTGAGATTAATTTATATCTAACTGCCTTTTTAATAAGAATATATTTTGGTAAATAGTAAAAATCATTCAAAAGCTATATTAAATTACTAATTTAAGCATAGTCAATATATGGTTCTGAGGCAATAAATAATATAGAAATTAGTTCTAATTTTAAAATTGCTACAATCTGAAAATGTATATTATTGGAATAAATATAAAAATTCTTGAAAGAATACTATAGGACAAACAATTTGCAATAAAATTATATCTTTCGTATTACATATAAAATTTATGAAACATGGTTTAAGATTGCTGTTACAATTTCTGCACATAAAATTTCTTAACTCAAGAAGAAAAAACTTGTTTAACAGCATCTACAATATTCATAAACGGTACAAATCAAAACATTAATGATTTTAAATCAAGAGCGAGATCTAGAAATAATATGAAGTTGTGTTTCTGAATAAACAGTATTTTCACATTAAAAGAATCAGTTAGATTAGCTATTTTTTTCACTTTATGAGTGTTATAAAAACATGATTAATAAAAGAACTTCGCCTAAATTCATAGTCATCGATGTTTTTCTAAAAACAATTGTAGCCTAGTCAAAACTAGATTCCCCATAATGAGAAATGTGCACTTTTGAAACTGTTCGGTACTGAGCAGTATATTAAAAAATTAGCATGTAATTTTAGTGACTTTGTCAAACTATTTAACATATAACTTAATTCACTATCTACTATATTCAATTTGAACTATATTAAAATTAATTTAAAGATAAGTTTTAATTGGCCCTCTTAATTGATTTAGAATGTTGAGTACAAGGGATGACAATCTGTTAATTTTAATCAAATGAGTAGCAGGTACTTCCTATTCACAAATACGATAATTTAAGAATGGAACTAGCTCTCAAAACTAACTGTTATATAGCGCTCATATCAATAACTTCTAGCCACCTAATCACATTAATTTGCCTATCATATTGAATTAAAGTGTCACCAAGACAGATTAAACATGACTGAATGAGTAGATATTTCTTAGTGTGAACATATTTTTAACTGTACCAGTAGGACTGTTAATAGCTGTTCATAAATGCATTTATGATAAACTTAAGAACATTCAAATAAATTTTCACACTTCATCAATTGTTGAAGCTTGGCTATCCAACAGATACATAGTTTATTTATAATGAAGTACTTAAAACCAACTTTTTAGTTTTAATTAAATGATACTTGAATGACTTTACCTTTGCATTAAAATCTGCAGCTCCAGATGCGGCTCTTGTCGCATCTTTATTTATTGAAACCCCCCAAACAGCACCTTTATGCCCTTCAAATGTACCAATCCAGTCCCCAGTATCACCTTGGCGCAACATGGGTTTTCCATCTACAAGTTAAATAAAACATTTTTTTTTATAACCACAAATTTTATTTAAAATCTTACATAAGATTATAGATGGACATCTATATATGGTCTAATTAGATGTTATTTTATATATAACAACATTCGCCCGAACAAACTGATATGTATATATATATATATATATATATATATGTAATTGACAAATACAGATTAGTGATAATCACCTTTGCTCGCCGATATCAGAAAGTACGAACTCTCGGTAATATCACTAAAAGCTAGATGAACGACAGGTCGGGTGTGGCCACTGCAAGTCAAAGGTGTCTGTCTCAAATTTGCCATTATCCGCTAAATAATTAAAATATACTAAATGCTTCGGAACGAGCGACAGGTACCTACACCCGACTCAGTGCACGCTATAAGAGTTCACAGCCAACTGGATAAGAGACTTAGATTAAGGTAACATTTGAAGGTTATCTATGTCCCCAGAGTGACCAACCTCTCTGGAACAATTGATTTTGTGGAGAATTAAATTTGTATGTACGCACTATGTTCGTAAGCTATTAATGATTCATATGTTTAAAATATATTATGGTTTATTTCTATTAATAATCAAATAATAACATGATAATATGACCCAACTTTTTTAATTAGTTTATTGCGACCTTTGAATTTATTTTTAATTTTTTTTATTTGAATATCAATTATATAAAATAAAACATGTTCTTTAAATGTCTCCGTGATAACAATATCTTATAATTTGACTCTGATGATAAATGTAAGTATTTTTTTAAATTTTACTGTAACCTAATTTATTTAAATAATCTTGATGTTTTTCACGTTAAGGTTCATTTTTAGACATTTTACAACTGTGAGGGGCACGGGCGGATCTACGGGGGGGGAGGCTTTCGGACTGAAGCCCCTCCCCCCCCCAGAATGGCAAAATATAACCATGTTTTATGGAAAAAAATATTAAAAAATTATCTCTTAAAGTCTTATTGTTCGTGTAATTACATATAAAAGGACTTAACGAATCACTTAAACACCATTTCATATAGATGGTTAGTTTCTTTCTTTTTTTCCAAAGCAATTATCGTCATTTTTATGAAAAAAAAAAGCTTTCGGGCTGAAGCCCCCCAAAATCAAATCTTGGATCCGCTAGTGGTGAGGGGGGAGGGGGTAGTTGTGTCAAACAAATATATAAATGATAATTTCACTATGCTAGTATTTTGTTTCTTGTTTTTGATATTTTTCATCTGCTATCGGTATCACGAGAAATAAAATAAATAGTTTGGTTTAGCAATAATTTCGCTTAAATTAATTTCGGTCAAATTAGATAATTGTGTACCCCATAGTTTGGGAAATTTTTAAACGCATCTTAAAATATCTAATTGCTGAAAATTATTAAGAAATAATAAAAATAGTGACTGAGAAAGATTTTTGATTTTATTCATCAATATAATCTGGGATGTTTATTAATTATTTTAATTTTAAAACATATGAATCCACGACCTTTCTAAATATTTATTTATGGTAAATGTTCTTAATAACGTAAAATCGAATAGTACTTTCAAAATGTTGAAAATTAAGTCATTTTTTTAACACTTGTTTATATAATTAAAATAATATTTAAAAGTCTTACACTGCCTCACAAAAATATTCCTACTTTTTCTGTATTTATTTTCACTTCCAACTATATAACAATCAAAGATAAATAAAAGAAATGTTCTTGGATATTCATTTTTTGGAATGATACCTAAAAATCTGGTGCGCGCATCACACAGCTTTCACTTACCGCTCAACTTTGAATAGAAATTATTTTCTGGACATGTTGGTCTATTAAAAAATTTTTAACTGAGCTAAAGCTAAAAGATCGCACCTAACAAATCATAAATACGATTAAAATAACAAAAGTCCTATTTATTATATCACCGGTTGATTGTAGATTGTACGTTTCGTTGATTATGGATTGTACGTTTCGTTGATTATGGATTGTACGATCCGTTCATTATGGATTGTGGGACTATTGTTATTAAAGTGTTATTTTGCATTGCAAAATTTATTAAAACGGAATTAAGAAATTTGGATTGTTTATCATAGACAGGTCAAAAATTGTCACACTGATTGTAAGTGGATTCTGTTGGAATATTACAAATTATTCGCTAATTTAATTTTCTGAAAGGTTACATAATGATTTTTCGGAATAAACGGACGATAGATAACTAATTATTTAAATATAATGTCAGTTCTAGAGTTATTAAACTACAGTAAATAAATTTAAGGTCATAAACGTATCCATGAAATATTTTTATATTTCACTTCTTCTTTCACACAAGTACAATAAAATAGTATCTTAAACAATATAATTGCCTTGAATCCGAGGTTTTAAATACTTTTACCAATTTTAAATTTTTTTTAAAAGTTTACGTTTAGAAAATTTCATTTAATTTTCTTGAAAACATGTTCTTATTTATATTTTTTTCACCAAGGCAAAATTCATCAAATTATTCCCTAATTTAATTCTCTAAAAAGTTAAATGACAATTTTTCGGAATAAACTTTGATACCTCATTATTTAAATATAATATCAGATCTATAATCACTAAGCTACAATAAATGTATTTAAGGTTATACATTAAATATTATCAGTTTTCAAAAATTATTATTTATAATTTCTTCGCCACTCTCTGTTACTATCTAAGTTAGACATTGTTTTTTATAAAATTCTCCGCTTTCCAACGATATATGTATACCTTCTGACTAATATTTCATTTTGGACCTGGATAAGCATTTTTATTTTTTTCTCCTTTATTCAATAATCAAATTCTTTCAAAAGTTATATTTAGCATTTTTTCGTAACTTTTAATAATGAGAGATAGTTGATTATTTGACGATCCCAATACTTTACACTTACTATATTTTACATATATAGGTAAGTGAAAGTAAAAAAGATAGAACACTTTTCAACAAATATATAGTATATTTATAACTATATATAGACAGACTGACTCTAAATTCCAATCCACTTACTCAAGTTCTATCTACTGCCACAAATCCATATAATCCGCCCAGAACACGGGCGGATCTACGGGGGGGGGGGGGGCTTTCGGGCTGAAGCCCTCCCCCTCAAAATGGTAAAATATAACCCTGTTTTATCGAGAAAAATATAAAAAAAGTATCTCTTAAAGTATTATTGTTCGTGTAATTACATTTAAATGGGCTTTAGGAATCACTTAAACACCATTTCATACAAGTAGTTAGTTTCTTTATTTTTTTCCAAAGTAATTATCGTTATTTTCATGAAAAAAATACTTTCGGGCTGAAACCCTCCCAAAATTAAATCCTGGATCCGCTAGTGGCCCAGAAGACTGCTGAGGCGCTGGCCAAGAGACTTATTGCATTGAGCTACTTTCTAATATTCTGCATTATCTTTTTTGTGTGTGTATTTGTTATTATGTTATAATGTATGTGTTATTTTACTACGTTTTTTTTTTTTTTTTGTTTTTTTGTCTTTTTGTTTTGTTATTCTTCTCCTTGACATCATATTTGCTGAATACCAAGGTAGATGAAAAATTTATTGTGAGCCACAAATATGTAAAACTAATAAAATAAAGTAAAAAAATATTTATAACTAGAAAAAGAGTTTTATCATCGAGCTCGGAAATTATTCTTTAAGACAGTCAAAATTGTGAAGAATGGGTTTAAGTTTAATGTTAATTGATTTAATCAAGTTTCATGTATATTTACGGACAAATTATATTATTAGAGTAAGTCTCGAAATCGGTTTTGTACCAAATATAAGCTCCTGTCATATTCAAATGTTATGAATGAGACACTGTTGGATTCAGAATTTCACGGGGGTTCGCAAATCGTACTCTCAGAATTTGCTTTCCTTTCTATAATAAATAAGCCAATATAAATATTTCGCTAGACTTCATTACTGGAACAGTGGCAAGTCATTGGATCGAAAAGTTAGTTTCTTCCAAAACAAGCGGACCTTGCGTTTTAGATCCCAAAAATGTACCATTTAAAAAAATATATAATAAATCAATATAATATAAATCAATAAAGCGAATAAATCAAAAAGTATACACTTTTTGTTGATTACACCCACGATTATTTAAAATATTACCAAGTTCCCTACAATATGAAAAAAAAAATATCGAAATCGGAATATTACTAACAAAGATACAGATTATTGAAATTTATAAACAAACATATTGTTTTAAAACATGAATAGATTTTTAGATCAATTATCATTTTCTTTATCGATTATGATTACCGAGAAAATAAGAATCGATTTTTCCTTCTTATAATACGTTGCATTATTTTATTTTCTTATTAATTTGGCTATAAAATGTGTTAAATAAATATTCGCACGGGCCAACTAGTATATAATGTCAGCGAAATACTCAGCAACTTATTACAGCATCTAATGCGGTGTTTATGAATTTATTTCTATAAATTCGCTCATACATTTTCTATGATGCCATTGAGCCTTTGGGGTTTCTGGTGTAATATTTCTTAAACTGTTTTTTGTGAAGTGATATTTCAATTTTATATTTCTCTTACATTTAGTATTTTTTATTTATTTATAACAAGTGGCTGAAATTCATCATGAGTTCAATAATTCATAAAAACGCTACGACCTAGGCGCAGATTATTCATCTAACTACTATGTGTAAAAAAGTTTCTTTTAGACATAGCTATTGTAAAGAGAGTAGTTAAACATATAACTGTTAATTTAAATATAAATCTATATACATACATATTTAATATAATACAGTAGAATTAGACCTTGTGAAGACGGACTTCTGGTGAAACTAAATGTTGTAAAACAAGAAATCGTTTTTATTACTTTATTTGACATGAAAAATAAGTAAGCTAATTTTCCATTGAGCCTCAGCGCGAGTTCAGGTTACTGCAGAAAGAATAATATACAAATTATTGTACTTTTTCAGTTATAGATTTATAAATCCATAAATTAGAGTGCTACCAATGGGTAGATTCTCAACAAGCGTGTTTCATGTGATAATATTCCTATGTACACATTTACTTGATGTATTCATACTAATACAGTTGTAAATATCATAATAAAAGTTTAAAAAAAAAAATCCATAAAGTTTATTCCTGGATAAATATTTTACATTTAAAGAATCAAAAACAATAAATTCTGCGTCGATAACTATGATAACTATTGATAACTCAACGCGTACCCATAATTGTAAATTCGGTCCAGAATTATGATTGAAATCGACGTGTAAGAAAGCGACAATGTGTAACAGTACCGGCCATTTGACGCCCCTGGGTTATTACGACATCCCTTCATAAAAAATTTTAATTTAAAAAATGTATATTTAATTAAATTTATTTCTTAATTGTTTTATATAATGTAATATTTAAATTTTATTTTACTATATATTTCTCTAATGCAGTTGCTTCATTAATAGGTTAAAATTAATTATTTGAATACGTCTGTATATATATATATATTTTT